TCTTCCCGCCTGTCGCAAGAAACACGCAAATCCGCGATTCGGATGGCAGGCGCTTCCTTCCCCAACACCAACATCCTAACCCGACTCTGAAACGAACCTTCCTCGGGGCATCCTCCGGGGACCCCGAAACTCGCCGTCACCCCCCACCCACAGGTGATACCCCTTGCCCACGCCCACTTCTGGCCGATCGACGTGAACGGCAGCCTTAGCGCAAGCCGTAACGGCCCCTCCTACGTCCTCCGGCGAGCGGGGTCGGGCAATCGCGGCGGCAGCGGCGGCGGCGGCGGCGGCAGCGGCGGCGGGGGAGCGACTGCCACTAACTCGAGCAGCTGGACCAGGACGGTCCTCGCGATGAGCCACAGCGTCACGGAGAGCATTGGTCGGGCGGCCGGCCTAACGATTCACNCGGGGATCATCTGGCGCTCGACGACGCGTGTAGTGGCGTTGCCGCGGTTGCGGGAAGGGGGGCGAGCGTGGCCGGGAGCGGGGAGGTGGTGTCGAGCTCGTCTTCCTGGGGGGGGATGAGATCGGGGGCCACGTGGGCGTTTGGTGGCGGTGTGTGTGCACCTGCTGCTATTGCTGCTATTGCTGCCGTTGTCATTGTTGTTGTTGTTGTTGTTGTTGTTGTTGTTGTTGTTGTTGTTATTGTTGTTATTGTTGCTGTTGCTGTTGCTGTTGCCATCGCTGCCGCTGTTGCCGTTGGTGTCGGCGTTGGGTGGCTCTTTTTAGCTTTTTGGCACTGTCCAAGGCGGACAGAACGGAATACTCGCCAAACTGCATTCACATCAACCCGGGCACCGCTCGTTTCACTTCCCACCAGGCGGAAGCATCGGCCGGCGGAGCGGCGGTAGGAGAGACGGGGGCGGCGTCTACCCCACCGCAGCAGCTGCCCTGGGGCTCGGGTTAGCGCCCCACCTTAGCATGGAAGAGAAGTCTGAAACCGCTGCCACGACCGGGGGCACCGCAGCTGCAAGCGGCGTTGGCGGGGTGGGGGGAGAGGGAGACTCATCCGCCGCGTCCACCTCCTCGAACAACAACAACAACAATTTGGATGGGTTGGCAGGGTTTGGAGGAGGGAGGAGGCTTTCCGGTCGCGGGGGGGTAGCGGGGAGAGGCGGCGGAAGAGTCGCTGGTGGGGGTGACGGTGGTGGTAACCTGGCCGAAGGCGGTTTCTTTTTCGTTCCTGCTGCGGGCGTGATCGCACCGGGTGGAGCAGCAGGTGCGCTACCATCGCACCGCACCGGGTGTTATTTGTTGGTACCATTCATGGTAGGGGTTTCGTTTTGGGTAGAGAGAGCGTTTTTGTGCCTGCTTCGGGAGGAACGATCGACCGGCCATCGGTGGTCATCGGTCCTGTGGGAACAAACGCTCCGTACTCTCGAGGGCGCGTGGTGTGACAACTACGAGGCATGCGGAACGTGAGTACCCTCCCCCCCCCCCCCCCCCCCCCCCCCCCCCCCCCCCCCCCCCC